TGTCTCTGTTCTGTAGGGATGTGATGTCAAAGCCACACTCCTGCTGATCTGATGGAATTCTTTCGGAACAGATGCCCTTTCAAGAAAAATTAATCCATCTTTTTATCACTTGGGGAGTCGAGGTGAGAGAGCCGCATCAGAATGAGGTTTCTGCATACGAACGGAAATTTTCTGTCCTGAACACATCCAAAACACCACATCCTGAACAGAGCCCGACAGAAACCAGGGGTGGGACTTATACAGTAGTGAACCATTACTATTAGTCCTAGGCCTTCAGTTTGGGCCATAAATATCCAAATTTTCCACTAGTGCCTCTATGGGATTTATAATGTTGGTGCACTAGAGCTGCTGCCACTGTTTTACATTCCTAACAACTAACTGGAACACTGCTTAGATTACGACTCATATCCACAGTCAGTGATGTACCTAGAACTTCCAGAAGGACTAAAGTGACCGTGGTCAACCCAATGTAAATCAAATCATGATTGATTCCTCTGTTGTTTCCTAATAATGTTGGTAGTTAATCTAATGTGTAAGGCCTTCAGTGCAGCTCCTGAAGTCCCAACCAATGGGAGACCTCGCTTAGCTGTGTTTATCTAGATACCACCGTTGGATATTTTCCACTGAGCGTTTTAAGATTCACCACTTATTTCCAACCAAAACTTAAAATTGAAAAAAAAAATATTATTACAATCCTTACAGACTGCAAAAAATGACATCTTAGTAAGTGAAATGATCTTAAATCTGATAGTCTTCATGTTGACATTGCTGTAAGCTTATTATAAGATTATTTAACTTATTTCTAGACATTATGTTTTTAAAGTAATTTTATTTTGGAAAATTCTCACTATATTGGCAAATAATTTTGTTTATTTAAAAAAGGATCTGCCAATATAGTGAGATAATTTCACTCAACAAAACTTTAAATCAGTAAAACAGCTAGAAACAAGTTAAATAATCTTATAATATTCATTCAACCACCTCAAAATGAGAAATTAGACATTTACATCAGATTTAAGATGGTTTCTCATGTTAAGCTACCATTTTTTGCAGTGCAGCGTTTAAATAAAAGAAGTGCGAATTTTATTAAATAAAAATGAACCAAAAAATTACAGACATGCTTACATAAATGACTTATTCTCTGAAGGCCTCGAAGGCCTTCAGGGTTCCCCACTTAAGCTACATCACGATACTTCTCTCTGAGAGGATGATGTGTATGGTCACCATTTCTAGAACACTGAATAACTCCACTGATCATAAAACAGACAGACTTAGTCCAATTATAGACAGCCTGTAAACAAAACTAACCAGAGATTAGTAACTGCATAAAAAGGTTTAATCCATGTCCAGGAAAGCAGCCCAAAGTCATTTTGATGCTGTCACATTTGAATAAGTTTTCCTCAGGAAGCCATGTGAGGAAAAGCCCTGGGAATAAATCATTCCGGAGGAGAAAAACAGAAATGTCTTCCAGCCGAGGCTGAGAGATCCAAGGCCAAAATCAGATTTCACTTTTGTGCACAAACTAGAACAACATGTGCAGGACGCTATCTTACTTCAGAACGCCGTAGCCGAGCCCATAAATCTACAGCCAGCCTCAGCGGTAAGTAATTATTTACCTCGGCTTTGAGGACTGGGTGCAGATTACTATATACATCATTATATGTGATTGCATTCTCTGTGGAGAAGCTTGTCACCAGAGGCCCCGAGATGTATAATCCCCTCACAGAGCATATATTACTCTACTAACAGTCGCATTATTCCAGCTCAGTGTTACAAGCAGCAACTGTTCATTTGTTCCTGATGTAAAGGTGTGCGGTACGATCATTAATGTGGAGTCATAAATGTTTCTCTATAAAAAGGGAAAGTAATATTTATCCCAGCACTTTATTAAGATGTCAAGACAGGCATTCAACACAGGGGCCTAATCTAAGTATGAAAAAAGCAATGGTCCCTTGCCTAATATTAGACTACAATATAAATACTGAAAGAAAGAAGATGTGAGTCTTACTGAATCAAAAAGCTATGAGCTATGACCTCTAACAGGTGCAGTAACACTGTTACAGGCAGGGATGAGTAACGTTTGTTTATTTGATGTCTGTTAATGAAGCTTTAGAGGGCGGCGCTAAGTGACGTTTGTGTATTTGATGTTTGTTTATGACACCTTTAGAGGGCGGCGCTGAGCGACGTTTGTTTATTTGATGTTTATTAATGACGCCTTTAGAGGGCGGCGCTGAGCGACGTTTGTTTATTTGATGTCTGTTAATGACGCCTTTAGAGGGCGGCGCTGAGCGACGTTTGTTTATTTGATGTCTGTTAATGACGCCTTTAGAGGGCGGCGCTGAGCGACATTTGTTTATTTGATGTTTGTGACACCTTTAGAGGGCGGCGCCGAGCGACGTTTGTTTATTTGATGTTTGTGACACCTTTAGAGGGCGGCGCTGAGCGACGTTTGTTTATTTGATGTTTGTGACACCTTTAGAGGGCGGCGCCGAGCGACGTTTGTTTATTTGATGTTTGTTAATGACGCCTTTAGAGGGCGGCGCTGAGCGACGTTTGTTTATTTGATGTCTGTTAATGACGCCTTTAGAGGGCGGCACTGAGCGACGTTTGTTTATTTGATGTTTGTTAATGACGCCTTTAGAGGGCGGTGCTGAGCGACGTTTGTTTATTTGATGTCTGTTAATGACGCCTTTAGAGGGCGGTGCTGAGCGACGTTTGTTTATTTGATGTTTGTTAATGACGCCTTTAGAGGGCGGTGCTGAGCGACGTTTGTTTATTTGATGTTTGTTAATGACGCCTTTAGAGGGCGGCGCTGAGCGACGTTTGTGTATTTGATGTTTGTTAATGACGCCTTTAGAGGGCGGCGCTGAGCGACGTTTGTTTAGTTGATGTTTGTTATATTTTGCCAACACTAAATGACTGAGTTTAACGCTATTGCGAAAGCATCTGAAACAATTTAGTGAATTCTTTACTCGTAGAGATTTCATTGCTAAGAATAATAGCATGGAAATTACATTGATAACTTCATAAAGCATTTGTTTTTGTATTATCTGTCTAGACAGCACCTTAAATATCAATGTGTTCAAACATTCAAGGCAAAACATAACCAACTTAACCCCAAGCACCTTCCCATGTACACTCACAGCTGATGAATTAAGAGTTACAACCTTGGCACAGCATGAGGTGTCAAAAACACATGCTAACATGATACAGTCCAACAACTTGAAGCAAAACTACCCAAGCAAGGGCATAAAATAAACAAATCATTACTATTCTAAAAAAATTGATCAGTTTTCATATTTGTACACCATTTGAAAATGCTTGCTACCTTTAACATTGTGTGAACATTTCATTACCAATCAAAATAGTTTAGTTGATGTTTGTTGATGTGCCTGTAGAGGGCAGCGCTGAATGATATTTGTTTAGTTGAAAATTTTGAAAAGCAAGGCTTTTTTTAAGAAATGCTTTGGGACATCAAAGATCATTTCTTATCACAGGACCCAAACTGTCAAGTACCCACAGAGGACCAATAAAGGACCCCAGAGGACCCCCATGTTTACAGGAACTGTTGTTTTGTGACTGTCTGGAACAATAGAAACATAAACCTTGTCTTGTTACATGTAGAGAACAGGAACACTGACATCATTAAAGCGGACATGAATGATCAAAGTCTCATCACCATCAAAGCCGAAGGTTCCTCTTCTGACTCAAATAGGTACACAGGAGTATATTTAATAAGAGGGTCCAGGAATCAGTGCCCCTCCAAACCACACCACCACTACCAACACCAAGCTGATTCTGCTCAGAGAATCTTATGATGTTCTTGCTCACAGAGTCCTAATGGTTAAAGTCAAGTCTGATCCCAATTTTAACCTGACAAAATTAAGTCTGATCTCGACTGTAGCTGACGAAATTCTGTCTGAACTCGACTGTAGCCCACAAAATTCTGTCTGAACTCGACTGTAGCCCACAACATTCTGTCTGAACTCGACTGTAGCCCACAAAATTCTGTCTGAACTCGACTGTAGCCCACAAAATTCTGTCTGAACCGACTGTAGCCCCACAACATTCTGTCTGAACCGACTGTAGCCCACAAAATTCTGTCTGAACCCGACTGTAGCCCACAAAATTCTGTCTGAACCGACTGTAGCCCCACAACATTCTGTCTGAACCGACTGTAGCCCCACAACATTCTGTCTAAACTCGACTGTAGCCCACAAAATTCTGTCTGAACCGACTGTAGCCCACAAAATTCTGTCTGAACTCGACTGTAGCCCACAACATTCTGTCTGAACTCGACTGTAGCCCACAAAATTCTGTCTGAACCGACTGTAGCCCACAACATTCTGTCTAAACTCGACTGTAGCCCACAAAATTCTGTCTGAACCGACTGTAGCCCCACAACATTCTGTCTGAACCGACTGTAGCCCCACAACATTCTGTCTAAACTCGACTGTAGCCCACAAAATTCTGTCTGAACCGACTGTAGCCCACAAAATTCTGTCTGAACCGACTGTAGCCCACAACATTCTGTCTAAACTCGACTGTAGCCCACAAAATTCTGTCTGAACCGACTGTAGCCCACAAAATTCTGTCTGAACTCGACTGTAGCCCACAAAATTCTGTCTAAACTCGACTGTAGCCCCACAACATTCTGTCTGAACTCGACTGTAGCCCCACAAAATCCTGTCTGAACTCGACTGTAGCCCACAAAATCCTGTCTGAACTCGACTGTAGCCCCACAAAATTCTGTCTGAACTCGACTGTAGCCCCACAAAATCCTGTCTGAACTCGACTGTAGCCCACAAAATTCTGTCTGAACTCGACTGTAGCCCACAAAAGTCTGTCTGAACCGACTGTAGCCCACAAAGTTGTGTGTACTCGACTTTGTAACATGGCAAACCTTTGATAAATCATGTCCCGAACACCTGTACATGTAACCAATAGTCAAACCCCATTTCATGCTCTAGTCCTCGCACATAGAATTGGGAGCAGCGTACCAGTTTTCCAGGAGTAGTGAGTGTCCTTGGAGAAGTCTGCCCAAACCTGGACGACCACAAGAGACACGGACAGAAGCAGGAAGTTCCCGGCTCTCCACGGCCAGCCAGTTCCACCAAAGCCATCTTTTAGACTCATAGTCCAGCCTATTGACTTTCTGTCCTCTCCTAGACCTGAAAGAGGGAAAGGAAACAGAGTTACTTTGGCCAATTACTGCAGCTCACTGGGACAAATACCTCAAACTGACCACATACAAACAAACTCACACAACTGCTGTACTTGATTTCATTGTGTAACGGTTTGTGATGGTATTGATATGTAAAGTAAACACAGTCAGAAGTTTGGAATTCATAGAAGGGCTTTTTATTCTTTTACCATTTAAAATGATGACACCAAAACTACAAAATAATACATATGGAATTATGTTGTGACAAAAAAGAGTTACTGGTAACTAAGTTGCTTGTCACTGAGCACAAAGTCTCTTTGAATCAGGAGCAGAAAATCAATCAGGAGTTAAAATAGGTGATTTCTCTCTCTCTCTCTCTCTCTCTCTCTCTCTCTCTGTAAAACTCCCTGAGTCTAAGTGAGGAAAATATGCCAAGATTACAATAATAGAGGATATTTTTATTCATCTCATCCACACCAGCAATCATGATTCATTTCCAGGTGGTAAACAAATAGATCTGGAGACATGAGAACATTTTTCCTTCGCATTTTTGAGCTATAAGGTTTTGTTACAACAGCACGATTTGGGCAGTTTAACCCTCTGGGGTCCACAAACTCGCCTGTGCATCAAATTCTCTGTTTCTATATCTGTTTGTGTATCTTTGTGATGATCCAGCACAGAAATCCAGTTCAGACACTTCCTGAATCTGTAGAGTCGCCCTTTCCATTCCATCTTATCACGAGATCATACGACACTCACATCCGGAGTTATGAGCCTATGAAGAGGGGCTGAGATACACGTCATCTGCCTCTCACCGTGTGGAACTGGTGGATTTGTGTGTCCGTCTACATTCTGTGTGAAACTGACCAATGGACACTCAGGAAATCACTAAGGACTGACCATCACGCCGGAAACCCTTCATTCTTCAGTCAGTCCACATTGGAGACTCGTGTGAAACGGCGTGCAGAGAGTTTACAGCTGCTGAAGCTGCTGCAGCGGTTTTGGAAAGTAGTGATGAAGATAACGGAGCATTTAGATATGAAACATATGAGGATCATGATATATGAAGAGTCTTCTATTGTGATGATGTCAAGCTTGTAACAACAGAAGAACCCTTTTGGGTGCTATATAGAACACTTTTCAAAAAGGTTCTATATAGAACAATCTACAGTACATTCTCCATCAATCTGAAGAACTCTTCTCTTTACTAAAGAGCCTTTGAATAACCAGCTTTTTTTAAGAATGCATATAGAACCATAAACACTCAAAGAAGTATTTGCATGATTAAATGGTTCTTTTCATGGTGAAGTTGTTCTTCAGATGTAGAATGTGTTGTACATGGTTCTATATGGAGTCTTTTTTTTTAAAAAAAGGATTCTATTATGATGTCAAGCTTGCAATAGAAGAACATTTTGGGTGCTATATAGGACCCTTTTCAAAAAGGTTCTATGCAGAACCATCTACAGCACATTCTCCATCAATCTGAAGAACCCCTTTCTTTACTAAAGAGCCTTTGAAAACACCATCTTTTTAAAAAAAAGTGTTTATAGAACCATTTAGATGCCTAAATAGTTCTTTGCATGGTGAAATGATTTTTCAGCTTGGTGGAGAATGTGTTGAAAATGGTTCTATATAGGACCAAAAAGGGTTCTTCCATTGTTACAAGTTTGACATTGTAACAATAGGAGAACTGTTTTTGCCGCTATAGAATCTTAAACAACACATTCTCCATCAATCTCACCAATTTTACCACGCAAAGAACCATTTAAGCATGCAATTGGTTCCTTGAATGTATACAGAACCATTGTCTTTACTTAAGAACCCTTGAAGACCCATCTTTTTAAGAGTGTACAGAATCAATACTGAATAATAAACTGGAGATATTAGATTTCTGCTTTTGTCCAGATGCTGAAAATGAGTATCTAGTACTTTGCAACCGTTTTAACTGGATGCTGAATAATGGAAAAGTTCTCTCATGCCAAGATCTATTTAAACATGCAAATGGTTCTTTGAGTGTATTTAGAACCATTGTCTTTACTAAAGAATGCTTGAAAAACCATCTTTTTAATAATGTATATAGAACCATAAACACTCAAAGAACTATTTGTATGCTTAAATGGTTAAATGGTTCTTCGCACTGTGAGATGGTTCTTCAGATTGAAGAATGTGTTGTACATGGTTCTATATGGAACCTTTTTGAAAATGGCTCTGTATAGGACCAAAAGAGGTTCTTCCATTGTTACAAGCTTGACATTGTAACAACAGAAGAACCCTTTTTCGTGCTAGAACTTCACACAATGCATTCTCTATCAACCTGTGGAACCTTTTCACCAAGCAAAGAATCATTTAAACATGCAAATGGTTCTTTGAGTGTATTTAGAACCATTGTCTTTATTAAAGAACCCTTGAAGACCCATCTTTTTAAGAGTGTACAGAATTAATACTGAATAATATACTGAGATTTTAGATTTCTGCTTTTGTCCAGATGCTGAAAATGAGTATCTAGTACTTTGTGACCGTTTTAACTGGAAGCTGAATAATGGAACAGTTCTCTCTGAGTTTTCTCAGTGCTGTACATTAGGAGGAGGAATTAGCATCTGTGTGAACATCACTGCTGTAGTGGAACATCACTGCTCTTTTTGTGTAAAAGTTATTCCTTTCAGGCGTAATAAAGCGCTCCATCGGAGTCGGGAATGGTGGAGTAAGTCATTTTAAAAGGCTCTGCCACACTCGGAGCTTATTCACGGCAGCGAATTTGTCCCATCTTCTCTCGGACGCGTCCAGCACATCACTGTAGCGCGCGCCCACGCTACATCTCAGCATTATCTAAATTACGCTTTTGATAGATCGGCCGCGCTCTCAGAAGCTACACGCGATGATGCGCTGCGGCCGGGCGGAGGAAAGTTTTTTATATTGATGGATGAATAGCGATTAAACTTAATCCCACATCTCCCAATTGGTTTTTGGTTGATTTCATTGGGGAAAATTAGATTTTTATCTCGTTGCTTCAGCAGCATTTCACAAATTGGATTTGACAGGGAGATGGAAAGAGAGAGAGGGAGAAACGATGGAGTCTCATATCGTCTCTCAAGACAGAGTCAGACAATTTAAAAAATATAATAAAAAAAAACATTGTCTATTCTTGTTTTCAAAGCACTCGGGCAGCAGCTTCGGTTCTGAGAGGAGGTCCAGATCCATCCAGCACCAATTCAATGAAATTTCTATGAAATATTATGAACTATTAATATAATAACTATTGATAACTTTAGTGGTACGTTTTTCTCACAATCCTTATGATTCTGGAATTATTATTGTGATGCTGCAGTATATTTCATACTGATTTAAACTGCAGTTGCAATAATGTACATAATGGATTATGTACCTAAGTGTTAATGGAGCTGGATTAGCTTCACCTGTAATTTGATTGATTATCCCTGATGTTAGTCCAGTGAGAGTCTTCAATGTTATTTATTATTTATTTACTTATATTTAGTATTTACAAGCCGGCGGCACGGTGGCGCTGTCACCTCACAGCAAGAATGGCCTGGGTTCGATTCCCGGCCGGGTGACCAGGGTCATTTCTGTGTGGAGTTTGCCTGTTCTCCTCGTGTCTGCGTGGGTTTCCTCCGGGTACTCCGGTTTCCTCCCACAGTCCAAAGACATGCAGTCAGGCTGATTGGACATGCTGAATTGCCCCTAGGTGTGAATGTGTCTGTCTGTCTGCCCTGCGATGGACTGGCGACCTGTCCAGGGTGTATCCTGCCTTCCACCCAATGACAGCTGGGATAGGCTCCAGCACCCCACTGCGACCCAGAAGGATAAGTGGTTTAGATGATGTATGTATGTATTTACAAGCCTGCTCAGTAATAAGCAAATTAAATTCCGTAATTTGCATAACCTTAAACTCCCTCTGTCGCATTCTAATCTAATCGCCTCCTAATCATGTAATAACAATGTAATTACACAACATGTTAAAAATCTCTGTGCCTATTACCTTCAAACCAAGTGTTATTCAGATGTCTTCAAGCATTCCAAAGATGGGAGTGTCTACTGGATTTACACTGTTAAAATGATGTGAACTGAAATCTAAAAAAGTAATAATCAATACGTTTGATATTTTCTTGATCAGATTGTTGTGAGAATGAGATTATTCAACCACAGACAGACATTTTACTTGCTTTAAGTGGTTTTATCTTGTGAAGGTAGCTTATTCCACCGGGAGATTAATGTTGCTGGAGTTAAGCGTTATTTCTTCTTAGACGTACGGGCGGATAGTGCCTCAAATATAAACAGAATACAGATCAACAGAGGCAGCATTAATATTTATGGCCCACACCTCCTAAAGGTGAGATGTAGTTTATCAAATTTTGCTGGGCGCCGTGTCTCTGCAGTGAGGGCAACAGGAAACACAACACTAACACTATCTTCCTGTGTGTGTGTGTGTGTGTGCGCGCACCCAGTGCTTCAGTTCCTCCCAACCTGAAGTGGTTCACACACTCATACCCACATATATGAAAAAATAATTAATCGTGATTAATCACATTTGTCTTATTATGCTCATATAACTCTCGAGGGGAACTGAAACACATTTTATGTTCTGGATTTTTCCCCATTGTGCAAAATTCAGCAAATAAACAGCAATTGTGCATAAAAATCAACGTGCGAAATACATGGGGTTCTGTGGGGTTTAACCTTTTGGACCCCCTGAATGTCTCAAAAACAAAATTCTGGGGGTTCCCTGAAAATAAGCTTGGGACGTTACACTGTCCGTCAGGGAAGAATAGACACTCTAATACAGTTTCCGAGGTCATTGTTTATCTGATTCACCCACAATCAGCTTCTGTCTATGTTATTCTTAACTAACTAGAGCTGCAGCACTGCTGTGCCTCAGGGTGGCGCTGTAGCAGACTGGTTACCCACTTGGTCCTTCACAGTCTAGAAACTGTAACTCTGCTCGGATTCTGTAGTCAGTTCTCATAGTCGAAGAGTTGGATGTGCGCAGGCATG